ATTGAGATCAGGTGCATGGCTTAGGGGTGTGGCTACGACAGTATTTAGTATCAATGCGCGGTACCTTAGTGTAGATCAAGCTTAAATGACGATTCTAGCTAAAAACTCCGTTTTCAAAGAAATGTGTCGTTTCCGATTCAATTTGAGGTTAAGGTGATGGCTTTGGTTTTGGTTTAGAGAAAATAGACAGCACTATCAACCTAGCGCCCGTTGTATCCTTCCTCAACGGGCCATTTTACTCGTAATAGAGATTCGTACAAAGGAGTACTTAGTTCGTCTTATCTCCTCTGAGCGTCGTAGATTGGTTTGAACGTGATATAGCCGTATTGGTTCTCAAGGTTAAAACTTCTCTCCCTGGTATTGGAGATGAACTAAATGGTAGTTGGCCGAGTCAAGTGACTCAAACCTTCTCACACGCACAAGCATAAGCGTAACAGTGTCATCCCCCCCCCTCCTCATTCCACCCGTGTCGGGATTTATCAAACTTGCTCTTTAAAGACTATTTAACATTCTAAATAACTACTTTTTTACGTGGAATTATCATTTTTCTGTATATATTTTGCTATTTATTGCCTTGGTGTCACCCCCCATAAATTGTGTCATTGTGTCACTCGGTGCGGTCCGCATCCCCCCCCCCTCGCTAGCCCCTGCACTACAGTTGTTTTTCTTCTAAATCCGTCCTGCATTTTGTTTTAGGAACTTATTTAAATTTATAGCTCTGTCCACGTTTTACGTATTTTTTTCTCCACAAATTTTGGTCCTCACGATCGTTTTTTTTTAAATCTTGATAGTAGGGCATTCTAGAAATATGTATGTTTCTATTTCTATTGTTTTTGTCTGATAGTAGACTAGAGAGTTTCTGATTTATCGCTATTGGTGTTGTATTATACATGTGTATATGTTATTTACCTAGTTTTATATGTGATGATTTTAAGGAGAAGGTTCCTAAAGATTTATGTTGTGTCTCTTAGAGCATATTTCCTACACCATTGTATTCTGTTGTATAATGGGGTTGAGAGTTTTTGTTCTAGAGTTTTGTAAATGTTTTGAGATTTTTCGTGTTTACTCTTTTTCGTTGTCGTTTAATATTTTGATAGCATTCTTCGCAAAAGGGACTGTTTTTGTCCTATATAATGGGAGCCGTATTATTGATTTTTGTAATTTTGTTGAGCTAAATGCATATGTAATAGTTCTCGCTGAAACAAATCTAGATCTGGTTAGTATAAATTCTAGATTCTCTAGTTGAGTACAAGATTTAGTAGCATTCATCTAGTAGATCTACACTACAGTAACAAACGTGAGACCACTTAAACCCTACAAAACCTCAAATAAAACTTCCAATCTACTTATAAATTAACAACCGCTGCTGTTCATAGATCTCAGCAAATCTGGGTAGCATACTATGTAATTTATGACGCTCATGGTCCAGCAGGGAAGTGATACGATACATTATACCGATGCTTCACCTTAAAATGTCTTACCTACAGGATACCCGCCCCCCACTTGTTTCTAAACCAACATAAAACTAATCCTTTTTTAGGGTAACTTGGATTATTATTTTTAGATCACAGCCCAGCAGAGACGGTGTGTTATATAATTTCTGACCATCATGGTCCAGCAGAGTGGAGATTAATGAAGAATCAGCACCACTGCCCTCTCCTCAAAATGTCTCATTTTCATGATACTTGATACCCAGCTCTCACTTGTTTCTAACCCATCATACAACGTCATCTCATTGTTGTTACCATGGATTGCAGCTCTTAGATCTCAGCAAACCAGAGATAGCATCTCTTATGTAATTTATTACCCTCAGGGCTCAGCAGGGAGAACAAAGTTGATATGATAGTCAGTACCACTGAACTGCTACTAATTTCACTAAAGAGAATCCTGTCTCAGATACATATTGTAATTAGACACATAGTAGGTAGGACTAAGTAGTTCATTAACGCTTTCTACAACAAAAATATCAACTACTTGATAGTATAAACTTTTAAAATTTAATTTAAGTAGCAGATGCTAAATATAAGTCTAGTTGTACAATCTATTTCAAATTCAGATAATTTCGTTTGCTAAATAAAAAAATACAATCTAGAGATAGATTTTTTAGATCTTAGAGGCAGTAACTTTTTTTCTTATCAGGCCTATTTTTATTTATTATTTTGTAGTTTGAATCTAATACAAAACTATATTTTAATATTACATTTAATTAAATAATTAGATTAATGATTCTATGTCTGCCTGGTTGAAAAAGTCACTCTTAGCTAAAACTGAATCAAATTTCATTTACATTATGATTAGGTTTAGAGCTAGATTTTAGATATAATTAATAAGTAAATATTTCAATTAAATGTTAGTATTACTTTTGAATTTGGTCTATTGCTATTAGTATTTGTCGCATTTTATTTGCAATTTGCCTCCGCTTCACTCACATCGTTTCGATAAATATTGGCTACAAATTGACAGCGTGTACGTTCTGTTGACTGCCGATTTCTATTACTGTAGTTTAATATAACCCTTGTCAGTCGAAATAAAAGAATTCATGTAGATCTGTCCATTCAGGAAATCGGCCTTCCGGTAAACAGCGTTCGGGTAAGTGTTTTTCGGGAATATGTCGTAGACCAATTCATTATAGCTTACCTAGCAACAATTGTTGTTGAGCTAAATTTGTAGAGTGCTATGGTATTTTTTATTTTGATGGAGACTTGTTCCCATTCGTCATCGTTAGTGTGATGTGGATTGTTCTAGTGGGTTATGTGTCAACTTTTAATTTTTTTTTGTACCTTTCAGATTTATATTTAGTGAGTAATTTTGTTTGCTGGCCCATCGTCCAAGTTCCATGATGTAGGTTTTCTTTTGGTTAATTTTTGCCCCGCTAGTCAATGAAAGTCTCTGCTATTAGAGTAAGATTTTTGTTTTAGTTTGGAGGGTAAATGCGAACACTAGAACAAAATCAAATTGAATGTATCCCATTCACATAAATCATAATTGTGTCCGAAAAATGTGTACTAATTACATATAGAAGATATACTATTTCTGTTAAAATATAAAATGCCGCGGGGAAAGAAGTAAATATTGAAGAAGCGTTTCATAAATGCGTTACCAGTCATGTATTCTTAGACGTGTGACCTTTTTTTCCCTAAAACCGAGTTTAAATTTAAGTCTATCATTTCTTAGATAATTTTTATCGGGGCACTGGTTTACTTACAGTATAATAGCCTTGAGTGTACGTTAATCACTTCCCGTAATAGTGAGGTAAAACAAAATTGGGTGCCTGCCCTGGTGTCAATGACGTAGAGGGGCTCTCTTGAGATCCTCCAGTTACACTACCGAGTACGGTCCATGGCTGTTTAAAACTAATGTAAGAACCCTGGTGCTCACAGGATTGCGCTATTCAGTAAAGTGCAGTGTCTTACAGAATTTTTTCACACAGAGGGAGCACTTGATATTTTCCTGGGGGCGGAATAAAATTTCCGGGGGTGTACACTGTTAAAAGTATATATTTTATAAATAAATTCCATTTCGTTTGGGTGGAGGGGGCGGTCAACTTTCTTATGGATGGCTCAGCACCCCCCCCCTCCTACGAAGAGATGCCTGAAAGAAACTTATCTAAAGTGACAAAAATCAACAGGATTTTTTTTCTTTTACACGTAGAAGAAAAAATATTTAACGTGTTATAAACATCAGTGTGACTGATGCAATTGGTTAGCGTTACTAATTGTGTATTATTAGACTCTGAATCTCAATTTTATGTTTTGATCGTCTAAAATAATATGCCAATTGCATCACTCGCAATGTGAAGAATCTGTATAGAAGGATTTCTTCGCGTTACAAAGTTATTTTTAGAAGTGTAACTTTTATTTTTAGATTTGAGTTGCCCTCCGAAACTTAATTTTTTACGGAAAATTTTTATTATTTCAAGAACTGTAGGCTTTGGAATTGTTTCGATTTTTTTAGACTAAATAAAACGACCCAATTAATAACCTAACCTTGGTTAATTTATCTGATTGTTTGAAAAAATGTGTAGAATATGGGGAAATCTCTTATTTATCCATTATCCCGTTATATTTTGATACGGCGTGTTGACTCACGACAGTAACTGTTAAGTTAGGCGACGTAGTATTTGTAGAGTGATGACACATTGAGATAACTTATGACATGCGAAGTTAGCACGTAAAGGCAATTTTACATCTAATACATGACATAACGTTGCTTTATAAGAAATTGTACGCAGCAGGACAACAGTTTTTTTCTTTGATCTGTGTAAAATGAGGTCTTAGCGATTATACCTTTTAGATACGTAACCATTTTATGGTTATAATTAGCTTCAACAAGCTGATAAGTATTTTATCATGTCTTGGTTTTCATGTTTTACGTATTTGCAACTTAAAATACTTTTAAAATGTATCATTTTTTTCTATCGATATAACTGATATGTGTGTATAGTTTACGTTATATAAAAGACATTTATGTCAGAACAATATTACTATAAAAATATACGTTGCCAAAGCTTTTATAGAGGAGAGCCAATAAATTACTGTTAGACTAAATATAAACTCCGTACACTCTGGTGTATTCAAATATGGGGAAAGTTATGTAACTTAAGTTAGATCATACCAAGTGTGTACAATAATTAAAAGCATAGTCAATGTGCATTGTATTCAGATTTTATTTTTGTCTTGTCATTAAACTGATTTAATTCCATCGAATAAACAGGCAGACACTCTACACTATATGAGGTAGGCAAGTTGGCAAGTCCTGGATATCCCTTATGTTATTTGAATAATCAGGAATTTACATGGAATCTATCAGCACGTGCTGATACACGTCTCATTTTAAAGTAGGTCAATCTCTCACTGACCATACATTAACGTGGAATCAAATATATAAGTGACATTGTAGAAAAACCTTAGTACTAATTAACACTTACTTTGTCTTACAGTCTATGGTTTGTGGATACACGGTCTTGTGACACATACTATATTAACGTGTACGACGGAGCTACTAAAAATGCTCCAAGTTTTAACAAAATTTGTGGTAGTGGAGTCTCAGGACTGATTGTATCGACAACAAACAAACTTTTTGTCACCTTTAAAACAGATAGCAGTGAAACATACAGAGGATTTTATGGGGAGTTCTATTCACACGGTAATTTTTTTTAAATTTCTACATACACTTGTTACAGATTTTAAAATTGTTTGTCACGGCAGGCCTGTACACGGGTCATTAGTATGGATAGCTATGAAGCACTTTAGAATCCCCTACACATTTATTTCTTTGATCGCCAAACTATACCACAAATCCAACAATCCAAGTGATAGCTAAAGACAAAAAAAAAAAAAGAAAACAGTAATAAAACATTGGGTTTTATAAGGGTATTTGATTTCTAATGTAATATTATTTCTTCTCGCTGACTCGCTACTGGAAAATAATGAACTGGAGCACAGATGATAAAGTCAAATTACGAGAATACTTTGATTTCGGAGATGATACATTAATTCTCTAGCATATTTAAAATAAATGCCCTTTATTTACTAATAATTGTGTTACCGACCAGGAATGTTGATATTCAAGAAAAAAAAATAATGTTAACGAACCAAATAGTATGCGGAATTATTACAAAAAGCAACTAATAATCAATGCACACTATAACACTTTAAACAATATTTGACATATTTAAACTTCACTCACGAGAATATAAAAAAATAATTCTGGTTTCAGTATTATATATTTATGGGAACTTTCCAGCGTTAGATCACTAGCAGAGCAAAAGTTTAATATTTCAAATAAAAATATTATAAGTGCAAAAAAGTGAAATTACTGGGTTTTCTTTCAACGATTTACTATTTAGGTATTATATTGACATGTGTTTTCGAAAAAATGTGGTGCTTTGGATATCATGTCCATATGGTCCATATGGTCCTGAAAAGAAACTAATGTTTTAATAGGTATCGCTAATGTAAATGTTTTAATAGAAGTAGTCGCAGAGCCTTCATTTTCTATCATTGAAAAAAAAATAGCAAATACTGTTTATAGACAATAATGACAATGATAACAATGTGCTTTATAGATGAAAATGTCGACAAAATCTATGTAAAAGTTTACATCTTTTTTCTAGTGAGATTGTTTTGCATACATCTCATAAATAAAAGTTCCTTTTGGGCTGCGCGGTCCCGCGGCCGTGTAGTAATTTTGAACCTGTCGCTCCGTAGTTTTAAGCTTGCCGTGCAGTCATTTTGTAAAATACACATAACCTTGTTCAAGACTTCTAAAACACAGCTCGCATAAAATATACGACACACACTAGCTATCCTCCTTATAGGGAGCGATTATAGACGATTTTAAAACTCTCATACAGAGGAAGCTTACACGTATCTATAACATCAGTACACCTGGATTTGCCAAAACCACGACCAATTAAACATCCTCGTGAGGTTTGAAAAAGGATACTAGTGCAAGTTATTGTTTTCGAGTGGACAAATAGGAAAACATTATTTGTCTACAATTTTTGGGAAGATTACAATTGGTGTTGATTGTAATTAATTTCTCAATATGCTTTTTACGAATATTAAAACAAATATCTTGAGAACTTGGTATCTCAGGTTGTCGAACTGTAAATAAAACATAAGAAAATACCCCTCTAAACTGATTTATAAGAAACATGAATTTTTAGGAATAAATTAGCGATGGTTATCATACAACATTGAGACTACTGATTCACTGAACCTGTCATAACTTGCTAATGCGATTCCAAGATATATATATATATATATATATATATATATATATATATATATATATATATATATATATATATATATATATATATATATATATGTGTGTGTGTGTGTGAAATCTAATGTCATTTAAACGTAAGGGAGAGGCATAAACGGTATGTAGACCTGCTAAATGCGATAAGATTTTCTCTCAAACCCCACAATCTGAATGCAGTTTGATAACTGAAAAAAGAAAAAAAATCATAAGATATGCGCAATGTGCAAGAGACAAGAATGAGAACAGAACGAAGAATATTGTGATGTCTGACACGTTCATGTATGTTGTATAACATCACATAACTGCTTCGAGAAGCTCAATTTTTAGATGCCTATGCACTGATAAAAGGGCATATATATGTTCTCATTACTCAAATTTTTATTATTTCTAATTAAACAGAGCAACAATAAACCATTTTGAAATAATAAATATTGATATTATTCATAACCCAGCCTATAATCGATAACTGTCCCCTTCTGGAAAATAGGGACACATTTCTCCCATGCTGTATCTTAAAAAATTAGGTTATCAAGAAATCTAATGTTGATTATCATTTGAAAAGTATTAGATTCAATTTTAAACTAAAATGAAGAACAATGTCTGTTAGTTTGAAGGATGGACGAATGTACAACCTCTTCTTTCACCTGATCGCTGGAAGACTGACAGCTAGTTCATAATATTATAATTTCAAGTTATTACATTTTATAATTTTCTATTTAGCTCTAACATAATAGTTGTATAGTAAATTTTAAATTAAATATTTATTCCTGTTGTCATTTTTAATATTATCTATTGGAATTACATGTCTACAAAATTGTATTAATATCAAATCTGGCCTTAATTAATGGCATTAATTAATAAAATATGTCAACACCACATTGCTATTTAAACAAAGCTTCACAAATACGTTTAAAAAAATAGTAGTTGATTTTTTAAAATATAAAATAAAATCGCTTTGAACTAGATGATTTCTTTGGATGCTGTATAGTTTTTACTCTATTGTGATTTGAACATGATTTTCATTTTAAATATAGTTTTAGACGATTTTTATATATTTAAAATACCTTTTTTACTTCATCAATGTTATGAGATATTATCTATTGGAATTTCATTAAACGATACATCTCTAAAATTGTTGGAATAACTGACATAAGTTAAATGTGACAGCTAAAGATAACCTCATCACTCTGAAAGAGTCTCAGGGTAATATCTCCAGCCCTGGATATCCGTTTGGCAAACTTGACAACATGATGTACACCTGGAACATACAGGGCAAAGTTGACAGTTATATCGTCCTTAAGTAAGTTGCCTTTTTTTAATTTACATTTTGTAAATTGTATTTTAGTATGCGCCAAATATTTGAGAATACAGTAATTTGTAACCGTAAGTTCTAACACAATGACAGCAAGTTTAAAATAAAATTAGATATGGCTTTCTCAGTATTTCAGACTTAGGAGAAGACTGCCAGTATGACTACCTAAGAATCTATGACGGGCCCACACCATTTGGAAATTTCTGCTCGTCAACACCACCTGGGTTAATGGCTTCAACAGGAAACTTAATGTTGGTTGTGTTAAAAACGAATAGGTCAAACTCATATAAAGGATTTTATGGAAACTATGAGATACGAGGTAATTGTTCTATATTATAATATTTGATAATGATTAATTATATGCATAATGAGGTAAAACATTTAAAATTTAAGATATAGCCTGTAATATTATATACATATTATGCATTTTACTTTAAATTACACATAATGCTATTTACAGCTTAGAGTTTCCTCGCATATTAATTACACATATTTACAAGAATTATTTTTGTTATCATTGTATTCATATACAGGTAATTGCATTATTATGCATTTTGATTGAACGTAAACTATGTACTATGTAAAATATTATTTATCTTTTTTATTTTAATTAAATATATAATTACGTCGAATTTAATGTCACAGTTCTTTGTCAACGACAACATGAAAAACATTTTAAAAAAACAACAAATAAAGTAATTACATTTGACAACTTTTTAAAATAAAATACATAAAATAAAAAACATTTGACAACTTTTTAAAATAAAAAAGATTATATTAAAAATTAAACTTACCTATGGTTTGGTTTGAACGTCTAAGCCGGATCTGTAGTGGTGTAGCTGGATGTAGGTGGATCGGAGAGGAGGGTAGCTCAATGGTTCAGTGGATGACTCGGCTGTCTCGATGGGTCGGTTGTACACTAAAAAAGTAAAGCGAATACAGTTGAATTCTTATTTAGAAAACGATTTAATTAAAAGGGTATTTTAATGTGGTTAGCTCCCTCAAAACAAAAAAGTAACATTAACCTTACCTATAAAGTTAATTCCTAAGGTTCCGTAAACAGACACAAAGTATACGCTCCGTGGTTGTTTAGGTGGATGTGTTGCTTGAGTCCTAAGCCGACGTAGGTTTAGTCTCGGGTCAATGGCTGTCTCAGACTGGTTAAATGGAGGTGATGTTTGGTTTGGAGTCCGAAGTCGAAGTGGCTTAGAACAAAATTCTCGCGTTCATTTATACGGTTGGTCGGCCTAAGTGTGGCGCCAGCCTGTCTCGTGCTGGCCAGGTGGTATTCAAATAAATGCAAATCCTTCGCGGAGGCTAAATTGCTTTTACAGCTGCGTGAGGAAAGACAACCCCGTGGGAATAGCATTCACATCGAAATTCCACTGGGTCATAAAAAACCACGACGCTGAACGAAGCGTGGCAACCGGTGCATTCCCATAAATCAGCATACCGGCGATGCTGCGTACGTCCCAATGCACTCAGTGAACCTTTACCTGCGGCCACCACCACCACCACCACCCCCTGGAGTATTTTACTGTATAACATGTTTAACCCTCACCCTCACCCTGCACCACCACCTAACCACCCCTGGAGTATTTTACTATATCTCGTTGTACCTCCGCCACCACCACCACCCCAGGCCATCACCACTCCCCCTCTCCTCCGCCACCACCACTCCCCCTCTCCTCCACCCCCAACATTACTCCCCCTCTCCTCCACCACCACTCCCCCTCTACTCCACCACCACCACCACCCCTCTCCACCACAACCACCAGGTGGTGTATTTTACTATATGTCATTGCTCCAGGCTTCCCCTCCCGCAGGCCACCACCACTCCCCCTCTCCTCCACCCCCAACATTATTCCCCCTCTCCTCCACCATTACTCCCCCTCTCCTCCACCCCCACCATTACTCCCCCTCTCCTCCTCCAACACCACCACCATCCCTCTCCACCACCACCAGGTGGGTGAGTATTTTACTATATCTCGTTGTACCTGCGGCTCCCCCTCCCCCTCCGATTATTTTACTATCTCGTAGTACCTGCGGCTCCACCCTCACC